TCACTTCCTTCATCAAGTGCCGAACCGGCGCACACACAGGCCTGTAGCAACGCCAGTAGGCCTGCTAGGCACGTTGGCGGGGACGACGTCACTGTCCTGACACTTGGCATCTGCGACTCCTCCTCAGGTGAAGCCCCTTCACTCCCAAGATGGAGTAGTCCACATAGGAACAGCAGTCGTGCCGACGGCAACACCTTTGTCAACAAGTCCGCCTTCTGCCACTGTCCAGGGCAGTGCTTCACTGTCCACCCAGCTTCGACCAGCTGCTTGACCTTGTGGCCTCGTACTTTGAGGTGACGTGTTCTCTGATTCCCAGCACCTGAAATGAACGAGATGGGGGCAGTATTGTCCAAGTGTAGCTCCGCCGTCGTGCAATGCAAACCCAAATCTCCCAGCACTGTCATCAGAGACTCTGTGTACATACATCCCTCCACAGCTTGAATTAACTCTGATTCACTGGAACTGAGCGCAATCAATGCCTGGCGAGATGCCTTCCAGAGCACAGGTGCTCCGTACACCTCTACCACGTGGCCACCAAATGAATGGTGGCCTTGTGGCGAGAATGATGCGTCTGTGAACACCCTGACTGGGGCCGCACTCTCATCTGGGAGCAAATGCAGGCGGAAATCCTTGGAGAAGTGAAGGTAGTGCAAAATCCGCCGCCCTATGGCCAAGGCTCCATGCGGGTCTTTGGAGACACGAGAACACAACACTGTTGTGGCGAAGCATATGTCAATGCGACTGCGTTGCGCTAGCCACAGACATTCACCAGCAATCCGCTGGGCTGCCCGGGTGGTAGCCTCATCAAACGGCTGTGCCTCGACCTCATCCACCATCAAAAGCTCCTTCGGACACACAATCTTGGATTTGTCACCCTCCTTCAGCCCATACGCCCTCACCAGTTCGTCCACATAGGCCTCCTGGTCGAGACTGTAGTGACCGTCCTCATATCCGTGCAACTGCATCCCCATCAATCTCACTGGATGGCCTGGCGAAGCCTCACTCAACCCATCAGTCTCCCATCCTGCAACATCCAACAACCATTGGTGCAACGCTTCTGCGGTTTTGCGGTCACTGAGGATCAAGAAGTCGTCGACGTAGGTTACAAGATAGCCCTGCAGGGTGGATCCTTTCATAATCTTCCAAATTGATGGATCGGACCTTCCCTGCTCCAAATGGCAACCCAGAAACTTCGCCGTAAGCAAACGGGCATCTCTGTGATCTGACCACCAAGCTGGAGCCTCTTTGAAGCCATATAATACCATTCCCAGGGAATAGTATTCATCTGCCTGGGCCAGTCCAAGATCCACTAGCCACCTGGGAGGGCGAAGCAAATACCTGGATGCGGCATGCTTCGGGATTGGAGTCTGGGTGAAGGCAGACTTGATGTCTGTAGTGTAGGCTGACCACCTGTGCCTTGCTGCCTGCACTAGCGCCGAACGAACCAGCTCTGAGGGTGCTCCTGCTGCATACAGGGAATCTGCATCTACATGCGTAGATTGGTTGCCACAGCCAACCAGCCTGCACTTTCTCTTGAACAACCCATCGCCTGGCCCGCTTGGTGCCTTTGCAGTGAAAACACCCTTCAACGAGATCACAGAGGTGTCGGGATTGGCCATCATAGCCCTTGCCTCTGACCCAAAGTGGCTCACCAACACTCCTTGACCCTTCAACGACTGCAACTCCTTTTCAATGGCCGGGCGCCAAAGTTCCAAGTTTGATCTTACTTCTTCTTGCGAAGCGGTGTGCGTAACGCTCAGGGGCTCGGTCAGGCTGGCCAAGATCCCTTCTAAGTCACGCGTTGTAGTAGCCTCGGCCTTGTACACCGTCGCCATATCCCCTAGGCAGGGGTGCACTTGCTCAGGTGCTTCCTTGAGATGCGTAGGATTGGGAAGGGGAATGGGCAGCCTCGAAGCCTCAAGGTCCTGTGTGACATTACCTGAACCTTCATGGGCAACAGCAACGGCCATTACCTCTGGCGGGTTGGGGCCTGGAACCTCAAGCACCGGTTCTTGAACCTCCTCCTGGGGTGCTGGCTCATGTATCAGCTCCACTCTGAGAATCACCATTTCCACAACATCTCTGATCGTATCACGGACTGAGAACATCAGCATCCGGTCGGGGAGTGGTGAGTCATCCGCATATCCGTCGTCTGAAAACTCGAACACATATGCCAACAAACGCCTTCCATCTGCAGTGGGCAGGTAGAGCTCTGGATCCCTGCTCCAGTTTCTCTGCTGGAAAACTGTTGCCATAAAGAGATGGTGGGGAATTGATGCAGACAAAGGATCAACGGCCGGGTCCTCATCCTGCCCTCTAACACCCTTTGCCATCGCGAAAAACCTCGCTCAAATGCCTCCTCATCCAACTCACACAAATCAGCCCACTCCTCTCCGGTCATTCTTGCATACCTGACACTCATGCCTGTTCGACCTGGAGGAGGGTGTGGGGCGCGCCTTGTTGCGGGAAGTCTTTGTGGATTGGGTCCGACGAGTTTGCACACTGCAGGGATTCTCTCAGGCCTGAATACGAAACCCAGAGACTCCAGAGTCTCTCTCTTCTCCTGAGGCAACCTTGACGACCCCAATGGACTATACCCCGCTATCACCCAATTAGTTGCAGGCATTAGGGCGTGTCGTCGCTTAGGGTCAAACGCAACAGCTTCATGTCCCAAAGGAACAAACTGACCTTGAAACTCTCTGCCCTTGGCATCATAGCACGGTCGATGCTCCTCGGGGACCTGCTCCTCCTGAGTCTGCTGTTCAAGCCACATTTGGCGAGTTGACACCTGCACAGCATAGTTTGTGGATCCTGGCTCATTTCGTACATCTCGGTGCATAGAGACCTCATCGGCCACGACAACCATGAGTGAGGTCCAGCAAGGTTCAACACCACTCCCTGCGGCATGCCTTCGCAAGTATTCATTCAGGTATCTGCAAACACTTGCGTGCACAGCACTAGCTCGAGTGATGCCCCGCAGGCCACCATGACTGTAGGCACCTAGAATCACTGAAAACTCCCATTGACCTCTATGCTGTCTCCTGGTGACTCCAACGCTGCTTCCAAATGCGAGTTCAAGCAGCTGCCCGCAGTCGTCAGGCGCAAACGATTGTCTCTTCAGCAAGTCCTCTGCAAGGGTTTCTGCTGGTAGCATCACTGCCTTGACTGATCGTTTTCCGGTTACACGACGACTCGGGCTGATTGCTTCCGCGGGCTCAGGCAGCTCCGCTGCCACGGGATCAGCCTGGAGAGTACCTTCACCCTCAAACTCAGCTTCAGGATCTACCAAGTCCTCCACACACCTAACATTCTTGGCCACAAGGTAACCTCCTGACGCCGCCCTCATCAACACATGACCCCCTTCGGTCCGTGGAGTGGGGCACAGGTACACTGCGTGCTCCCATCGAATGAAGGGACGTTTAGACTTGCCTGTCGGATGCTTGCTCTTGAAGATAACCTTCTGCCCAAACCTTGGCAGAGATCTCTCACCTTGCAAAATCCTGTGCCTATGCTCCGCACAAGCAAACGCCATTGCAGCTGGCCATTGCTCCACACCTAGACCTGAAGAAGCTAAGTGCAACCTTGCTCTGGCTTTGACCCAGCCCACCAAGCGCTCTGCTAGTCCATTGGACTTTGGGTCATCTCCCTGAGTGAATGAGGGCTGGATCAGCTTTGATTGAAGCCAATCCATGGTAGCTTTGGACATCAACTCCTTGGCACGGTCCGTGTGGGCAACCTTCACTGGATACCCCAGTCTATTGCACTCGGTTACCACCTCCTGCAACCCTGCAAGAATCTGAGGCCCCTTTCGCGACTTCAAAGGCACCACAAACCTCAACACCTTGTTGGCACCTGAAAACACCATTGTGGAAAGTTCTTCATCAAAAGCTTCATCCGACAGGCTAGCCAACCCTTGCACATCCTCCCAGGGGTCACCCTCGACTAAGGGTTGTCGCATGATTTCATCCTCATCAAGACCTGTGCATTCTTCCTCTGCACTCATGCCTTCCTGGGCTTCATCGGCCAACCCTTCCACATCTGGAACTTCAAACCATCCTGGCTCCGAACCCTGCTCCTCCTCAGGCTCCGAAGGTTCACCATCTACTTTGCCGATCACAACCGTAGGTTCTAGATCCGCTTTGATTATTATTATTTTGTTGTAAATGCGACA